TTGGACATGTTGGGGGGGTACCCCTCGGTCTCATTTCTTGCTGGGTATAGATTTCGGAGGCATTAGGCATTGGAGGGCACTGTTACCAGGAAGGGGGCACGAAAGAAGCATTCAGACTTGTATTACCTGTGGGGGATCGCCCCTTTTGACATGTACTATCACGCTTGCCGTAGCATGACCTGCACCCCTCTGGCGTCGCCGGACAGTGACTGTGAAGACGTAGGGGTTGGGGTCATCCCACGTATTGTTGAGGGTCACGGACAAGGTCGACCGATCACTGGGAGACAGCTGTCCAGGGCACTCGCTTTTTGCTGGATTGGTCTGGTCAAACGTGAAATGGTAAAAAAAAAGAAAGGTGCTTTAAGACCAGACCCAGATGTTATGGAGCTGCTTAACAATTAGAAGAAATGTTGTCAAATTTTGCGATCATATGCACTTTGTCATGGCAGTGCTTAATAATAATACAATAATAACAAGCACTTGTAAAGCGCCCTCTATCTAGCAAACCATTCCGAGGCGCTGTATTATCATTATCCCTACACATTGGACTCACACATCATTTAAACATTCCCGAAACCATCTCAGCTCCCTGGGGAGTATACTAGCCTGGTGCTGCCATTTCGGCGCAAACAGCCAAACATAACCGTGTCCACCCTCACAGGTACCCATTTGGTGCTCCTGGGTGGAGAGCGGCACATAGGGGTAAGTGACTTGCCCAGGATCACAACATGCTGCCACCAGCTTGGATTTGAACCCCTGACCCTATGATCAGAAGCTACAAACCCTAACCACTAGGCCACATGCCTCCCCATGGCGTGGTTCGAACCCCTGACCCTATGATCAGAAGCTACAAACCCTAACCACTAGGCCACATGCCTCCCCATGGCGTGGTTCGAACCCCTGACCCTATTATCAGAAGCTAAACAAACCCTAACCACTAGGCCACATGCCTCCCCATGGCGTGGTTGTGCTCAACAGTTGCACATCCAGAGAGATTTACTGCCAGTGCTTCAAGCAAATTTTGTCTTTTCTCCATGGCAAGTGTGCCGTTTGCCGTGCTTACTGCTTATGGTCTACATGAAATAAGCAAAGCTCTGTCAGCGTAAAATTGTGTGCTTAGCAGAGTCGCAAAATTGGGCCATGGAGGTTTCCATAGCCAGTGAACGTCAGATTTTCTTACCAGAGAAAGCTGTCGGGGCAATTTTTTTCCTTCAAATTCTTCGAAATTGCAATATATTTACGATGCAACCAAGCACAACGCATTAATACATCAACCACGGAAAGGAAAAAAGAAGTCTTAAACGAGAGTACATGTCCTCCGTGGAACGAATATTAAAGGAAAATTGTGTGTGTTTACATGTCATCAGGCATCAAGTGGTTAATCCTCCAGAAACCATTTAAGCGCTGCCTCCTAAAATGATGCTGGAGTCGGGGGTCCACTAGAAATCCAAATATAACATTTTCTAGTCCTCATACCAGTCTGCACGTCCAACTGAAATCCAGCCTAGCTTCCTCGTCGTCCGGATCATGAGATTCCGAGGCGTCCAGCACCAAGTTCGCTTGCGAGTCGGTGCCGGCAGTGATTTCACTTCCGCCTTTGATGGACACGATCAGGGGCGACCTCTCCACGGTGACGGTGACCTCGGCTGTCACGCTCTCCAAGACCGTCTCCCCGTTGGGTGGAATTTCCACCGAGATGGTGACTGGCTCCCCGACTGTGCAAAGTTAGAGGATATTCTACAACACCTGAATAAATCCCTGTCATGTGAATGGTGAGTTGATTGTGGGTGCTGCATCGGGGGGGGGGGTTTACAGAGACACTTGTCACTTTTCTGTCACCTCCTCTCCCCCCCAAAAAATGTTAAAATAAGAGTAAAATGGAAAAAAAGAAGAAACAATATTAATAATAGTACAGAATATTTATAAAGTGCCGGTGTCGGCCAAAGAGCGGCACTCAGGGCGCAGTATAATTAAAGCAAAGAAAAAAATGAAAACAACCAGAAATGCATGTAATAGCTATCCAGAAGCAAGTGAGTTTCAAGAGAAACTTGGAAGTGGGAGATAAAGGAGACTGTGTGAACATCTGAAGGGAGTTTGTTCCAAAGATGAGGGCCCACGTGAGAAAAGGACCTATCCCCCTCCCCAAAGGATGGTGGGTTTCCAGCGACAATAAGCACGGAATCAACGGATGATCTTAGTTGCCTGGAGGGTCGATAATGAGCCAATAAATCAGAGTTGCCAACTTGCCGTGTGGGAACAGAACCACGAGGGACATGACAACGAGCCACAAATTTTGCACTGTATAATCTGGTCAGCTACAAGGGGACGAAAACTGCCAATTTGCTCGAACACATCTGTATCACAGAGCCGAGCACCTTCCATCGTTGATGGAGTGATTTGCCCCCTCCCACAAAAGCGGCTTCCCCCCTTTTTCTCAAATACCCACGAAAGTGGTCTTATCAAGAAAGGTTGGTGACTCGTGACAAAAGGCTCAGGCCTCTGAAACCACCTGCTGGCCGCAAGTTGTGGCCTTGGGCCCGGCAAGCCAACTTTTGTGGCGAGTCTGGACAATGAGCCGAATGGGTAATCCGCAAGAGTTGAAACTGGGCCTACAGTTTGAACTCTGACCTGGTAACTGGCCTGCTGGGATACGTTGATTCCGGCCTCCGCGTTGCAAGAGGCCCGTGATAGGCGGCTGGCTGCCTTGCCTAGCTGACCACACAAACTTGACGCTCGACGATTCAATGCAGCTGTCGTAGAAATGGACGTCTGCCCACAGGAGAAGTCTGTTTCAAGAAAAAAAGTGGATGGACTGGTTGAATCTGTATCTTTCAAAAGGCTGACAAAATTTCTGCGTCAAGAACTTCTGCAAAACTCTCCATCAAGAGCGGGAAAAAAATATTCAGCTCCATTTGGGACACAGTGAAAAATGCAACATTTGGATTAAAAATTCCGACGAAAAAACCCATTGTCCCGTCAATATAGGAGTGTCAACCCCCCCCCGCTCAAAATGGCACATTACATAGAGAGCATGTGCCTGTACCAATGCATCAAATAGGAACTGCATTTCAATCCATTACAAGCTTGTGTTCAGATATCGCGGCTGGGGCTTATATAGTGAGTGGATAAAACCAGCTGGCTGGGGAAGAACGCCATATACGTATGTGTAGCTGCCAGGCCACAGCCGCGACGTTTGGACACAGCTGGGCTTACGTACGTTTTTGAGGCAAGAATATTGTTGTTCTCGCTCAGTCCGCGATGCTGCAGGACAAGGCTGGGCTTCTTGGATGCCTCTGAGAGCCGCCGGACACGGTGAGAGATGGAGTGGGAATGCCGGGAGCCCTGTGGAGACACGGTCAGCGTGACCGTGTACTCGACCCCCTCCGTCAGTAATCCCCCGTTCAGCTTCAGATAGGGTTCATTCGCATCTGTTTGGTGTTTCAAAGTCCACTTGTTATCAAAAAATGCGAAACTGGTCAAGCGACAGTTGTACTGGTGGTCAGTGATTGGTTCGTGATGACTTGTGATAAATTGTGACAGTCTGTGAATAAAACCTGGGACACTGAGTCTTTTCAATTCATTTGAACATAAACCAATGTTGCTACACGTTGTGATTTGGGGCAAGCTTTTTTAGCTATGAAGCCTTGCACCAATACACTCTTTTCAATGGATAAGAAGGGCACAAAGGAACCTGTCCATTCCAGAAATGGTGGTCACAATACGAAATGTTGATTTGCAATCAGACATAGTGTGCCAGTTTTTATTCAAGAGGCTTATTGGCTTATGGTTGACTTGTGAAGGCTTTTGCTGGCTTGTGTTTGACTTGAAATAGCTTGCAATTGGCTGTGGCTGCCTTCTGATTGACTTCTGATGACTTGTGATAATATTTACTGACCAACATGAATGCTGACTTGTGGTGATGTGTGATTTACTTGTGATGGCTTTTTATTTAATGTGATTGAGATGTGATTGATTGTGGTGATGTGATGGCTTGTCATTGACATGTGATGGCTTGTGATTGCATCATGATGTCTTGTGATGGCTTGTGATTGACTTGTGATGTCTTCTGATTGACTTGTGATTGACTGGTGATGGCATGTGATTGACTTGTGATGGCTTGTGATTGACTGGTGATGTCTTCTGATTGACTGGTGATTGACTTGTGATGGCCTGTGATGGCTTGTTATTGACTGGTGATGGCTTATGATTGACTTGTGACGGTTTATGATGTCTTGTGATTGACTTGTGATGGCCTGTTGTGGCTTGTGATGGCCTGTGATGGCTTGTGATTGACTGGTGATGGCTTGTGATTGACTGGTGATGGCTTGTGATTGACGCATCATTCACTTGCAACTGCATTATAATTGCTTTGTGATGGACTTATATTTTTCCACAAAGAAGATTTTGCAGACAAAGGAGTGTCTCATAATTGTGACCCGCTCTGCAAAACGGTGCATTAAATTGTGCAATGCAAAAACGTGTAATGGCCAGGGGAGAAAATATTGGAAAATATTTTGAGGCCAACTGCTTGACCAGAAAGCCTCCGTTGCTTAGGAAAACCAAAAGAGACTCTAAGTTTAATGTTTCTGTTCGTTATGTTTAAAGGGCATTATCTCAAAGAGCATGCATGATAAAATGAAATCTTATGAATATGCAAATGGAAACTCCAAAACACAAAATGCCACTGGGATGAATTATCAAATGAAAGCTTAGGATATGTGCAATTTGACTATATAAGACTCAAATGCCAAAAATGTGACATAAATACACCGTTCTGCAGAGCCGGTCACAAGTTGGAACCGCCGGAATGTTCCATTTTGAAAATCCTTGTTCTGTGTTTTTTTTTCCAGAACAGGAGGCCATTCCATGGCATTCTCAGCAGAATGCTGCGTAAAAACGGTCCATGCTAATTTATAAATGTGAATGTCCTTAATAGCATTCTACTGGAAACAGTGCAGGGGAACATAAACATTCCAAACTTTTGAGAAGCTCCCGAAACACACGACACAAAGCTGTGACTACCGTCACCAAATGATCCCTGTCGAGAATTCTGATCTTCATATGATGTCTTTAAGGTTTTTTCTATTTTTTGGGGGCACTTTTCACAAGCAAACAAAACAGATGCACCTACCATTGACTGTCTTGAGACGAGCCATCAACGCTTCGGATGTCTGCTGACGTGGAGACATTTCCCAGGTGTAAGAGAGAGATGGACCCTGGGAGGCACTGCCGTGGAGGACCAAATCCCCACAGGAGGGTATCTCCTTGGGACCAGTGATGGCGGCAACCACTAGAAACAAAACAACAAAAATGGTCCAAGAGATTGCAAAGATCAGTGGAGGCTTTGCACGGAGGCCATCTTGCATGGTAGCTCTTTTGTTCCAGAGGGAAACCTCCATTATATATACACTGTATAACAAAAGCATTGGCCTGCAAGATGGCAGTCATGCAAGCCCTCTACAGGCAGACTGAAATGGTACCCATTGAAAAGGGTCCAACTGTGAAACTTTTTCTGACTGAATCAAGTTTCCAGATTTCACACACATGCTGGGCCCAATTTCACGGCGCTGCTTACCGTAAGCAAAAAATCGATGCTTACCATAGCAGAAAATTCTGTGCTTACGGCCAACGAATTTCACGAGTTAGCGAGGAATTTTGGCTTGTGCGCATGGGTACATCCCATACTAAGGATTCTGTGCTTAAAGGTTATACCGCAGGTAGTAATTTTTCTGCTAGCGCGGTTAGAGCAGAATGGAAATCATAAGCAGGGAATTCAGCGATGAACAGCGCCATGAAATTAGGCCATGGTGCTTTCACCACAAAAAAAACCCAGAAAATTTCTTTTTGTCCGACTGTTAGTCATAGCTGCCATGCTAAATGCAATATTCACACTTTAAGAATGCATTTTTAATATCACAAATTGTCATTTTGTTTCTGATTTCAGTTTCAATGATTTGCACCACCAAATGCTTGATTTTAAATATCAAGAATCCAATATTTGACAACTGAAGAAACATCAGAATATTCAAATACAGATAACATGTTCATGCATGTACTCTTACAGTGATCACAGTTTCTTGGTATAAGTTTAGTGGTTTTGGACTGCAACAGTTGACAAAGGATATTGAGTTTGAAAGACGATGGCCTTACATGGGATGACACCAGTGAAATTTGAAGCTTACCTCTTGGGACTTCTTCTTGTCCATCTGGATTTCCATCGCCCATGTCTGGGTTTTCACCACCTGTGTCTGGGTTCTCACCACCTGTGTCTGGGTTCTCACCACCT